AGAAAGAAAGAAAGAAAGAAAGAAAAAACAGTAACTAAGTTCTCAGTTCCTGGGTGAGTAGCCAGTTGCCAGTGTGCTACACAGCACACCCAAGTACACAGTGGTTTTTTGTTGTTGTTGTTGTTACTGTGTTCTTTAAAGATTTCTTTACTTTTGTTTTATGTGTATGAGTTTTGCCTGCATGTATGTATGTATGGGAACCACATGCATGCACTGCCTGCAAAAGCCAGAATAAGGTGTCAGATCCCCGGGGAAATGAAGTTTGATTATGAGCTGCCATGTGGATGCTGGGGACTAAACCCGGCTCCTCTGCTAGAGCAACCAGCGCTCTTAACCACTGAGCCATCTCTCTAGCCCCATTGTAATGTCTTTTAAAAGACAGCTTGTATACATAAGTTCATGCATGTGTGCATGCACACAGTTAGCCCTCCAGGCCGGTGGGCTCTACATCTATGATTTCAACAAACCGTGGACCAAAAACACCAGGAAGGGGAAAAAAAGAATTTCTTCTGTACTAAACATATATAGACTTTTCTGTGTCATTTCCCCTAAACAATAAGCACAGCGCCTATTTACATAGCATTTGCATTGCATTGTGGGATGAGGCGTCTTGAGACGATAGAGCATAAGGCATAGTGTGTGGAAGATATATGCAAATACCAAGTCCCTCTGTGCCAGGGACCCAGCATCTGTGAGTCTGATATCTGCAGGGGGTCCTGGAACCAATTCCCTGCGGATCCTGAGGGAGACTGCATATCTGAACTATATTTTTACATATATATTTCATTCAAATTCAACTTAAAGGCTTAGATAACTGGAAATAGCTTCCATAGAACCTTCGATTTCCATGTAACCATTTAAAGATCTCAAGCCTAAGGAATCTCATTTCCAAAATGACTAGGTCATCCTTTCCGAAATATGATATCATAACCCATCAAAGCTCATATCACAACTTTTAGTTAAATCATTGGGTTTTTTATGTACTTTCTCTTCTCCCTCGCATTACTGAAGGGAAGAGTCTCTTTTGACATTTGCTCTATTTCTGGGGCACCTGGAGGATAAAGGACTATAGTAACTGCTCAGGATGTTACCTGCTCGTGGCTCTGCTTCCCAAAACCCCACAGTGGGTTAGCTTTTGAGCTCAGAGCTTCTGCAAATATGGACACTGGCATCCCTAACACTCTGACCTCAGCCGTGTTGGACAGAGTGTGTCTATTAGAGTGCTTAGGACTGTGTCTGACTTTAATAAATAGGACTTCACTCTGGGTACACCAGGCTCCCCGCCCTCCACACACTGGACCATCAGTGAAGGGCCTGACTCCCAAAAAGGCTTTCCCTGCTGCCCCTCTCTTCTCCTGTGTGTGTAAGGTCAGAGGCACCATGAGGTCGAGCCACTAATGTCTGACACTCATGAGCCTCTCTGCACCCTAGCTTAGTCCTGAACCCTGCCTCCCTGGACTAGTCTTGATTGTTCTCAGGATACCCTGCAGCCAGCACCAGGGAGCGAACGATCCATGGTCCTGCCACTCTGACACCCGTGTGCAAATGATTACACTGGATCAGACCTAGCCACAGAATTTCAGGATTCAGCAAATGCCTGGAGTCAGATCAGAGGCCCTCATGGGTTCAACCAGCCCGAAGGCTATGCTGCCAGGCTAGTGATGTTTTGTGCATAGATACCTTCCCCAGCCTGGTGTCAGCATAACACAGTTTGGGATTCCTCCCAGGACTTACACCCCCTATGCATTACTGCCAGGTTATCCACAGACACCAGCAGCAGAACCATCCACTCCCAGAAGTCAGCCATAGTCTTTCCTTCCATATTAGATTACACAGATTACTCCCCTAAAGCCTTGGAGAGCGTGCCCCATCCCCAGGTCATCATTAAGCCATGGCCAGTATAGCGGCAGCTTGACCTTTCTGCCACATCTGGGCACCCAGTCCCTGTTCACCTTGGTTCTGATCCCTTCAAATAAGGACACCCTACCCGTACCCAGGCTTGTTTGTGTTGAGCTAACTTTTGCAATCTCAACTCCTTGGTGTGTGTGTGTGTGTATGTGTGTGTGTGTGTGTGTGTGTGTGTGTGTGTGTGTGTGTGTGTGGTTGTTTCTGTGTCTTCTACTAGACTACAGTCCCTGTTAATGTTTCATTACTGTACTATATAACCTAGTGTCCTAGTTTGCTTTATGTTGCTATGATAAAACCTGACCAAATCCAATTTGGAGGAATGCCAAGTCAGGGAGAGACTGGAGGCAGGAACTGAAGCAGAGACCATGTTTACTGCTTCTCTTCCCCTGCTTGTGCTCAGCCTACTTTCTTTTTTTTTCCAGGTATTTTTTATATATTTGAATTACAAACAAGATTGAATTACATGACGATCCCAGTTCCCTTCTCCCTCCCTTCCTCCTCTACCACCCCCCCATTAAAATCCTACCTATCATATGTCCTTTCTTCAAATCTACACCTGACTCAACCTTGCTGCTTCCTCATGACCTCTGCATCCTTCCTTTTCTTCCCTTCTCACTCTCGTAGCTTCCTCCCCCCTCTTCCCATGTTCTCAATTGCTCAGGGGATGGTGACCCTTTCCCCTTCTCCAGGGGCAAAGCTTGTCTCTTTTAGGGTCTTCCTTGTTTACTAGTCTCTCTCAGCCTGCTTTCTTATACAATCCAGGACCACCTGCCAGGGTGGCACAGTAGGCTGGACCCTCTTTTTGTTGTTGCTGTTTTTCGAGATAGGGTTTCTCTGTGTAACAGCCTTAGCTCTCCTGGAACTCACTCTGTAGACCAGGCTGGCCTTGAACTCACAGAGAATCACCTGCCTCTGCCTCCCGAGTGGACCCTCTTACATCATCAATCAAGACAATAGCCCACAGACATGCCCACAGGCCTGTCTGATGATGGGAGCAATTCCTTAGTTGCAGTTCTCTCCTCCCAGGTTTGTGTCAAGTTGGCAGTACTAACCAGAGCACCTATCATGGACCCAGAGTCATTCCTGAGGGTTTGATCTGATATACAAGTGAGAGACGGTGTTAACAAATCCCTGGTATGTTAAAGTCACTTTAAATTTCTCCTGATAATCCCAGAGGGAAACAAAGCTTCACCCCTCTACAGATCACATCCAAAATATTAGGATGTTGGGACATAGGACCAACAGCTACAGTAGCCAGAGAATGGCAACGAATCATACAAGTGCTGGCACAAACAGGAGGGTCTCAGCTGTGTTCTGAGGGACCTCTGAAGGGCCGTGGGAAACAGTAAGGACAAGGGCAACATGCAAAGCAGGCTGGATGGGCAGGAGGGCAGGAATGCACTTGGGTAATCCTGGTGAGCATTTGCTGTGTGACTGAAGTTAGGGGTCACAAGGTGAGAAAGGCGTGGGTAGCCGGTCCCTGCCACTGCAGGACTTCTGTTTTTCCTGGCTGGGAAGATGGTCCCAGGACTTCGAGCCACAGGGAATGATGCAGGAGAAGTAAGTCCAGCCTGAGCTTGGTCAGGGAGTATTCAGAAGAAACAAACCTGTCTAACCAGTTCAAGGCAGCATCCCTAGCACCCAGATCAAGCCAGAGAGCAGGCAAGCTGTTCTAGGCCTCTGGGAGCCCCTGTGACCATGCTATCTGCTTGTGGCTGCCATCACTCCATGCTGCTGGCAAGCAGTGCTTTGACCTGACCTCAGAGGTCATGTGGTCAGAATCACTCAGCATCTCCTTTACGAGCTTTGCTTATTGGCCCCATGACCCATCCCTGAGAGTCACCCGTAGAGTCAAATCCAGCAGTACCCCCCAGCCCTGCCCTCGTGGGTCATCATGACTGATGGCCCTTTGAAAATGCCATCTCACTCTCCATGAGCCCTTGAGTGCCTCCCTCTCGGGAGTTACTGATGCAGTGTTTCTGTGAACAGCTGTGTGCTTGTCTTCAGGGACACAGGTACCCAGCTTTGTTGAGTTTGTTTTTAGGAGTTGAAGCATGGGGTCACAGTGGTCATCGGAGTAGTTTCATAGGTGCACAAATTTGCACTCCCACAGCAGTGCACAAGGCTGCCGGGTGTTCTCCATCTGTGCTGACATGTAGGAAGGTCACTTAGACTTTTTAAGATTCTTTTAAAAACAATTTTAAGCCATTGTGTTGATTTGTTAAGTGGTTGTCTTATTGTGGTTTTCTTTTATATTTATCAGATGATTAGACAATGGAAGTCCCTTTTAATGGGGAAAGACCTCGTAGGGCTCAGTGCAGGAGGAAGGACTAATTCAGCCAGAGCCAGTCGGGTAGGTGGTGCCAGGTTTTGTACTTCTGTGTCCCATGGCCCCATAAAACCTAACATGCCCTAGTCTGCTAATTTGAATATTGAATAGGTCATTTGAATATTCATTTTCTCCTTTTTGGAGCGCTTCTTTTTTAACCTTTCAATGACCTTTTAAAAACTGAGTTTTGCTTGTCATTTCCTTGTTGATTTAAAGGAGGTCTTTATATATTCTGGCAAGATTCATTTTGGGTGTGTGTGTCAATACTACATTCCTATATGTATTATGTCCATTACATGTGGGATTGTCTTTCATACTCTCTTAGCAGTCATATCTCATGAGAAGCAAAGTCTTTAATTGTCAGAAGTCTGATTTATTAGTAATTTTCATTGTGTGTTCTGGTTGAGAAGTTTTTATCTATCCTGAAGACTGTCTCCCCTAGTTTCTTCTAGGAGTTCTGTGATTGTGTCTTTCATGGTTGGCTCTCTAGTCTGTTTCTGTGTGTGGTGAGATGTGACTGTTGAGATTTATTTCTTGTACACAAGGCTGGTAGGATGGATTCAGCTTCATGCAGCATTGTTTGCATGTATTTACGTGTCTTAGTTAGGGTTTCTATTGCTGTGAAGAGACACCATGACCACGGCAATTTTTTTTTTTTTAGTTCAAATTTAGAACAAGCTTGCTTCACATGTCAATCCTTCCTCTCCCACCCCTCCCCCCAACCCCCACCTGTTCCCCACCCTATCCCTCCTCCGATCCCCAGGGAGGGTATGGCCCTCCATGGGGGCTCCCCAAAGTCCACCACATCATCCTGGGCCGAGCCTAGGCCCTCCCCAACAAGGCCTCCTTATTGACATCCACATTCAGGAATCTAGATCAGTCCAGACCACGGCAATTCTTACAAAGGAAAACATTTCATTGGGGCTGACTTACAGTCTCAGAGGTTTAGTCTGTTATCGTCATGCTGTGACATGGTGGATGCGGGCAGACATGGTGCTGGAGAAGGAGCTGAGAGTCCTACATCTGGATCCACAGGCAGCAGGAAAAGAACTGTGTTCCACACTGGGCATAGCTTGAGCATAGGAGAACTCAAAGTCCACCCCCACAGTGACACTCTTCTCCAACAAGGCCATACTTACGCCAACAAAGCCACACCACCTAATAGTGCCACTCCCTATGGGGACCATTTTCTTTCAAATCACCACACTATTCATCTACTAAACCTTTTGCATAGAAAGATATTTCTATCTAGTCATTTTTCTGTTTACAACCAAAATCTAGAAATGGATGAAAGGACCATCTAAAGAGAACAGATAGGTTGGCACATAATTAAACAATGGTGTTTTAATCAGCCACAAAGGAATAGACTCAGGTAGGGGTGTGCCTTAGTGGTACAGAGCTTTCTGGCATATGCCTTGGGTTCTATCTCCAACACACGCACACGAAAACGTCAGCAGGGGGCTTTAATGTATGGCACTGTGTCTCAGGTTTTCAAACCTGGCAGGTAGCCTCCCACTTTCACAGATGGAAGCCATGCTGTCTGATCCTCCAGGCATTTCTTCTGCTGGGCTGGCTCCCACTGAACACTGCCCCCCTTCCCCAGGAGCTGAACACTCCCCGGGTCCGTATCCTTTTGATCTTTGATTTTCAGGCTGCATTCCTCAGGAGCCTCGCTAGGACCCTTCCAAGGAGATGCACTTAGGCACAATTCTGAAGAATCCACTGATAATTAATTGTTTCTAGATGGACGTTAGCACCACCATTCACCCCCTGTGAGCTGGATCCAAACACCTTAGGTCATGTGGGGCAAGGGGACACAGCAGGACAAAGCCTGGCACCATCTACCCCACCAGCTCTGGCTGAATTCATCCTTCCTCCTGCTTGCAGCCCAGGAGGCCTTTTCCCTATTAAAAGGGACTTTCACTGTTGCCTTTATTTTGAAGTGTTTTGTGGAAAATTAAAAGAAGAATGTCTGCCAAGCAGGATCTGAGCCAGCAGCCCAGAAAGCACTGTGTTTTCTTCCAAACCTGGCCAGAGCAGGCTGGAATCGACCCAGCACTCCCCAGGCTCCTCTGCCTGCACTTATTCTCTGGGTGGCTCAATTCCTTTTAAGACACAAATTGATTGGGATAATTTCAGCTATAACTACAATTGCCATGGAAGGGAGGGCGTGCTCAGGCTGGGGACTCCTACAATGACTGTGAACCATCGAGTTACTGTAAAATGACCAGAAAATGGATTCAAAATTGAAGCCACAAATAATGTAATTACTGCAGTGTATGCACAGGACTGCCAGGACAAGGTTGGCTGCTGCCCTGGAAACATCTGGAGGCAAGGCTGCTATTGTTCCTGCTACTGAACCTCTGTCCTGGGCCTTGTTGGTAGCAGAGTTCTTCCATCCTGGAAGATTCTTAGAGAGTAGAAGAAACATGGAAGGACTAGCGGGCGTATGGAGAGAGGGGACAAGGAGAAAAATAAGTGGAAGTTGGGAATGAGCCCAACTAGGTCTAGACTGCACCTTTGGGAGAATGGAGTCTAGTGTGGACATTACTGTCATCTGTCACCACCACAAATGTCAGCACCACAATTGTTGTCATCCTTGTCCATGCTATTACCTCCATCCCTACCTCTGCTGCCATCCTCTTCATCGTTGCTATGACAACATCATCATCGCCACCAGTCTTGTCAACACCAACATCATCCCTCCTTCTGTCCTCAACACCATCATTTCCCTGATGACATCTTTATCAGCAGCACCATCCCACAGGTACAACTGTCCACAGAAGCCCCATTTTGTATCTCCTTTTCTCTCTCCAATCACATCTCTTGCCATCCCTGCTGGCTTCATCTCCATGACTGTGATGCCACAGACATCTTTGTCACCCGTAGTGTCCTCTACACCATCATCAGCATCTCAACACTGTCTTCTGCGTTGTACACCTGGCGCCCGTTCTACTGACTCCTGTCTCAGCCAAACATGATGCTCAGCCCTTGGTCCAAGATAGGAGCATCACATAAAAGGGTGGTCATTTAAGGAATGGAAGAGATGCTACATCTTTGGTTGCCTGTTTCAAGGTCAGAGCAAAGTGAGAGCTCATGAAGCAGATTTATTTTTTGGAGTGGTGTAAGGGTGGTTTTTTGATATTCTTTACTTTTTTCTTTTTCTTTCTTTCTTTTTTTTTTTTTTGAGCGGACACAAGTCATTCTGTCAAATCTTCAGTCTGAACATCCTAGCAGAGGTGTACATCCTTTAAAAAAATTATCACATTTGGTGCATGTGTGTGTGCACACACATACTTGGGCCTGTATGTATGTAAAAGAGACGGGATGGGCTGGGATTGGTGTATTCATCAATGTAGGAGAGGAAAGAAGACTTTAACAATGTGTCAGCCTTCCCAGTGGTTCATTATTTAGTCTTGGAGACCCCATTTTACAAATCTTTTAAACAAAATCTCTATGGAGTATAGAGCTTAGAGAGCGTGGACTGGAGCTGCTGTTGGAGACAAGGCAGTCATGGCTTCCCCAGTAAAACCTACAGATGCAGAGGTATTCCCTAGGTAGAGGATCCTAAACTAAGAGTAGAGAAATTGAACTGAGAGCAAGCAAGCATGCATGCATTCATTTCTCTCTGCTCTTGACTGTGGCTATGATGCGACTAGTTGTTTGAAGCCACTGCTGTGATTTCCCTACCGAGGTGGACTGTCACTTGTAAACTCAAATAAACCCATTCTCTCCTAAGTTGCTTTTAGGATATTATATCACAGCAACAGAAATGAAGGTGGAACACAGGTCTAAGAGGCACCTTAAACATCCAGATGGCATCACTGAAAGAGAAGGGAGATGTTAATATCAGGTCTTAGGAAACAGGGAGGTAGAAGCAGGAGTCCCCAGTCAGTAGATGTTTGCTTTTCTATTTGTCTGGAATCTGGGATGCCACCCACGAAGACATCACGGTTGTATAGCGTGCTATAGGGTTGGTGCGCTCCACAGCTGGGCTTATAATTGTTTCTTCTTACCTCTCTGGTGTCAGATGAAGGAGAGCCTGTTACAGCCCCGTTGCACAGATGAGGAAACTGGGACTTCATGAGTTATTCTCACTGCCCAGAGTACTTCTGGATCTTTCTCTCATGGGTTCATGGGATTGTCCAAATGACTGCCCACTCCCAGTGTGCATAAAACCTCACTGACCCCTGTGTCCCCCTCCACTCTCTTGCAGCCTGTGACCAGTTGGCGCTGGGTGTTGTAGCCATCTTTGGGCCATCACAGGGCTCATGCACCAATGCAGTCCAGTCCATCTGCAACGCCTTGGAGGTGCCCCACATCCAATTGCGCTGGAAACACCATCCCCTGGACAACAAGGATACCTTCTACGTGAACCTCTACCCCGACTACGCCTCTCTCAGCCACGCCATCCTCGACTTGGTCCAGTCCCTCAAGTGGCGATCAGCCACTGTGGTCTATGATGATAGCACAGGTGGGTGGTTAGACCTGCTGAGACTGGAGGAAAGGGGAAGCGAGCAGAGCCCCAAGATTAGGGTTGTCTGCTTGCCTAGCAGAGCTGCCTCCCAGGAGAAGGTCGGTCCCATCTACACCAGACACCAACAGCACTGACACTCGCTGCTAGGATCTCTCACACCCGTGCATACCAGCTGCACGCATACCTTATTCAACCCCAGCCCGGCTCACACCTGACTCTCCCCTCCCCAGTACACCTGCATCATCTTCCGTAGCAGAGTACCAGGATCTGTGGTTGGCGCTTGCCAAGCATTGACCGGTGCTCACACTCCCATGGCCATGGAAATCCCTGCTCTCCCACCTGCTGGCTGGGCTGCCACTCCCTGCCTTCACCTCCCCATGGGGAGGCTCAGGAATAGAGGGAAGAGTATACATAGAAACCTGACTGGAAGCGCAGGGGAGGTTAGTTCCTGATCGTCCTGTCACCTGCACACAGCACCCTTCCCCCATTTCTTTGCCAACCCCCAGCCACCCCTGTTCACTGTTCATGCCCACTGCACTCAGACACCAGCTTCCTGCAAACTTACATGATTGCTGTCCCCAGCCAGGGTCAGGTCTGACCAAGCTCGCTCTAGGCTTGGGTCTCATCCACCAGTGAGGAGGAAGGAAAAGCCTGGGTTCTGAGTTTCAGCTGAAGCTGGACCCCGACCCCGTGCAGAGGTACCCGTCCTGCACTTATGCCTTGCCCAAGTGGAATCACGTTGGACTTCATTCCTCTGCACAGAGCCAGCTTATCCCAGTCCTGCCTACCCATCCAAATCTATCGTGGTACTCACCTTCCAGAACCCTCTTAGGATAGTGTGGTACCCTTTACTTCCCAAGGCCTGGGCCCCTTGGTGTAGGCCTAGAGCGGATAGCACTAAGGGCTTCAGCAAACATTCTGGGCCTTTCCTTTGGACCTTGGCAAAATGTGTGTTATGGGAGAACACAGAGTCAGGGGATGAGGAGAGACAAGAATGCGGAGGGCATGAGAGAGACTGCTGTATGTACCACGAGTCAAGCAGCGCCAGGATAGTCTCATTTAATTCCACGTCTTCCAGCCTCTCTGTGGGGTGGTAAATCAGAAACAAGGCAACAAACTGATTCAGCAAGGTAACAGAGCCTGCCCACTGTCAGCAGCCAGTATCATAGCCCACACCATCCTGCTGGCCTGTCTGAGCCCAAGGCCACTACTATTAGCCAGCACAGAGCCGGTTTCTCTTTCTTTCCAAAGACTTGAATCTCAAGAAAATTCTTAGCCCAGCCTCTTCAGCGACAGTGACCTTGGCAAGTCACTTAACCCATCTCGCCTGGCTCTTCTCATATGTGTGGAGAGGTGGGGCACCCAGCCTTGACAAGCCCTCCAGCTCTCAGCTACCTGCCATTCCATGTCAGCTCTTGATTACCTCCTAATGGGGTGCAGGAGGAGCGGTTGAAAGCCCACAGACAAGTTATCAGGGTGCTCTTTATCCATCTCAGAATTCTATAAACAGCTACAGAGCCCCATGTTAGTACCAGTCCTCAAACGCTGGCCTACCTCCCAAGATCCCAGCATGAAACTCTGTCACCATGGGGTACTCCATGGTCTCCAGTCCCCTCTAGTGTCTCTGCAACTTGGTGGTCTTCCTTTTCTAAGTCAGTGCTTCTCAACCTTCCTCATGCTGTGATCCTTTAATATCGTTCCTCATGGTGTGGTGACCCCCAACCATAAAATTATTTTCGTTACTACTTCATAATTGTAACTTTGCTACTGTTATGAATTGTAATGTAATGTAATTGTAATGTAAATATCTGATATTCAGGATATCTGATATATGACCCCCGTGGGAGTCACGACCCACAGGTTGAGAACTGCTGCAAAAACATTTGTGAATGCATTTTTGCTTCCCAATCATAGGTTCTCTGTGCCTCAAGGCCTCAGCACAAGGCTTGGTACAGTGTGGACATTTTTAAAGCACTGGCTGAACTGACTTGGGGTGAGTTGAAAATCAAGTCTTGTAGGAAGTGGTATAAGGATGTAGAAATGAATAAACCACTCCCCTATTTTTTGAGGAATTAATCATAGGCTAGGAGAGCAGGTGCCTGGCTGTAGGGCACTGGTAACTCTCGGGCATCGGAGCTGAGAATCAAGTGGAAAGGACAGGTAGTCAGAGCTCTAGGTACCTGGAGGTTGGGAGAGCTCTGTGGCCTTGGCTGGTGTGTGCTGACTTATCAGAAGAAGAGAGAGATTTGCCCTGTACCTTGAAGATAGGGGGACAGAAGGGCAGAATAGGGCATGTTGTGGGCATAGCAGGCGGAAGGAATAGTGTGAGCAGAGGAGAGAGGGTGGGGCAGTGTTATGGAGACGCCAGCCTGGCTGGGAAGAGGATTGAGTATGGAGTGTGAGCAGGGAAAGCGAGACAGACGGGATTCGCCTGGCTGTGCAGGTCTGACATCCAGCCTCGGGCTTCAGACTTTATGTTGTGTGTAACAGAGCACCACTGAGTGCTGTCGAGCGTAGCCGTGGAATAATGAAAGCCGGGTTTCAGTAGACACCCCCTGAGAGCCGAGTGTGAGGTGGTTTGGAAGGAGAGCAAAAGGCTGGGCGGATTGGACGGTCCCCCACAAGAACAAAGGAAGCCAGGCATCACCTCAAGGGGTTGCCTGAAAGAGAACTTGGGAACAGAATGGAAGAGAAGAAACAGATATGGGCAGGATGGCTGTAGTGTCACAAGTAAGTGGGCATAGCGGATCCTGGCTTGAAGCATTGTCCAGGGGTGCAGAGCCTCTAGGCTTTGCAAGGAGATATGCCAGGATGACAGGCACCATGTGAGTGGCACTGCTCAGGGCTGAAGCTTAAGCTTGCAGCTTCCTGTCTTAGAGCCCTAGGTCTACTCACAAATTCATGTGCTAGGTCCTCGGCTCTAATGGCCTGGAATTGCCAGTGACCTCCAGATAGTACCATTTCCTCCACTCCTTTTTTTGTACAATATGTTGGTGATCAAAACCAGGCCTTGGGCATACTAGGCCAGCACTTTACCCACTGAGATATACTCCCAGCACCCTGACTCTCCTATAATCTGATTAGCCATTCAAAAAATATGGGATAACCATGCCTTCATTTCTTCACCTTCCCAGTGCCTAATGTACTCTTTGTTGAAATATTTCATTAGCGTTTAATGCAGTTTGATTTTCAATTTGTCTCAGTTTAGTTCAGTTTAAAAAGTACTTATAGCGGAGACAGTGAGAGATGGGGTTTGCTCAAGAAAACAATGGGTTCTAGGATTCAGATGTTCATTGAACAGTAATATAGCATTGAAAATAAGAAGTGGGAAGCAGAAGCCATACTCTTCCAACTAAGACATTTCACCAGGCTGGACCACCACTGGGTGGGAGCACAGTGTCTTTAGCAGGCACTGGCTAAGTGTGGCAGGGTTATGTCCAGGAGCATGTTTTAGCTGATGGGACAAACCAAATCACCTCAATCAGTTTTCTTGTTGACAGAGGGTATGGGCTGGACCTTTCTAGGGCTCATTTAGCAGCTCAAGGTGCTGTGTGGATATGATTGCACCCCTCTTAACCTTCTCCTCCTGGGCACAGCAGTGTTGCTGCAGCTCCTGACAGCACCAGACGCCAATACCCCAAGCAGGAAGGAGACAAAGAAATCTGTCTTAATGTGACTCATACCCCTTATCAACAATAAAGATCTGGCTTTGAACCTTCTAAAAGATGGTCTTCTACAGTTCATGGAGCCCATGTCTACTATTCCTAGGCACTGTCAAATGGGAGTAAGATGGACACTGCCTGGCTCCTAACAGTCATGAGGACTGGCACATTGCCACACTCCTTTTGGCATGCCAGCCGAGGATGCATCTGTTAGCTCTTTCTATAATAAGCTGTGTAACAAACCACCCCCAAAAATCTAGTGGCCTAAAACAACAAACATTGCTTTGGCTCCTGCGTCTACCAGGTCAGCGGCTTACTGGGCCTGGCCAGCTGCTTCTTTGGTTTCAGCTGGCTTACTTGCCTGCCTGCTGGTAGCTCTAGGCTGCCCTTGGCTCTCCTCCATGTGTTTCTGTCCTCCAGCAGGCTAACCCAGGCATAGCTGTCCTAACTATGGCCAAGGAGCAAGAGAATCAGCCAGTGTGGAGTTTCATCATGTTTGTTAATATCCCACTGAACAAACCAAATGACAATGTTGAGCCTGGTGGGCGGGCTCACCAGCTCCGTGGAAAGGGTATGAATCTAGGGAGGGATGAGGAGCTTGGCTCATCCTCTTCACAGTAGTAGCCTCAAGGAGAGTGGCTGTGGAGGAGGTGACCTTTGAGCTGTGCCTTGTTTCCACCTTCTTAATCCAATCTGTGCACAAACTCCTGCCAGGGCTGAAAGGAAAAGGTTTAGGCAGGGAAAAAGCCTTAGGGTAGAGAGAAAGGTCTCTGCCTAGAAGGCAAAATACTGCTTCTCAAAACTTGATCCTGTTTGTGGCCTGGCTCAGAATTAAGGGAGGTCCCTTAACCTCTGTGGCCCTCCATTTCCTTATCAGCTCCACCAGCATGGAGGTCCCTGTTCTGCATGCCTCCCAGGATCCGGAGATGGCTAAATGGGGCTACAAGCACAGAAGTGCTTCGTAAGTGAAAAACGCCATTCCAACAACCGTGATTCAGTGGGGATATTCTGGGAGGGATTGATTAAGGAGGCAGGCGAAGGAAAGCTCGGTCTCGGGCAAACACAGACAGCCTGGTCCTCTGGAGGTGGGCCAGAAGGAGCCTCAGTCTCCTCAGGGACTGTGCTGATGGGAAGGAAGTCTGACATTTGCTGCTGGAGAATGTGGGTCGTTATGCATTACACGGGGTGATGTGCTTGGCTGACAAGACAGCCCTGGTGGCTTCCACTCCAGCATCCAACTTGTCCCTATCCTCATGATCTGGGTCTCCAGAGCCCACAAGCCTGCTGATGCTGGACAGGAGTCAGAAAAATGAGGGGGTAGGGGTGAAGGGGGCATGGAGGCCTCCGGGTAACAATGTGAGAGGCCAGAACTGCTGGAGAAGTTGGGGTTCTGGGTATGAGGGGTAGCTTGTGGCCCCTCCTTTTCTGCTCACCCCTCCCCTCTCTTATGTACTCTGGTGTCAGGAGCTCGGAGGCCTATTGGAAGCAGGATTCTTCCACCTGTGTATCCAGAACCAATGAAAATTTTGGAGCTCTTTAGGAGGTTTGGTTATAGCCTCCCTGGCACAGGAAGCTGGTGGAAGCAAAGCCCCCAGGAATGGGAGAACTAGATAGATTTATGCTGTGTCCTCAGGGTTGCTTTGGAAAGTAGGATTCCATTGGAAGGGATCTAGACTTGAATAACCAAGAAGGGAGATGCTGCCCAGATAGGAAACACTGTAATGAGTGACGACAAAGTTTTTTTCAGTGCCCGTTAGCTTAAGAAACACAGGTATGTGTATGCGTGTGTGGTTCTTTAGAATCAACATTTTGTTTTTGTTTGTTTTTTTTTTGAATTTGGGTTTCTCTGTGTAGCTTTGGCTGTCCTAGAACTCGTTCTGTAAACCAGGCTGGCCTGGAACTCATAGATCTCCCTGCCTCTGCCTTTCAAATGCTAGGATTAAAGGTGTACACCAACACTGCCCAGGCTCTCGTGTGTGTGGTTCTTACTGGTAGCCTTTACTAAGACTTTGGAGGACAGCATCAGTGTACAGTACTGTTTGACCCAGAGGTTCACATGGGTGCCATTAGGACATGTTTCCTCCCCTTTTCATCTTCTCTGACATCCACCCTGATGGATCATATCTCTGGTTATTTCAGTGACCCCAGACTTATATCCTCCTTGCTTGCATAAAAAACGGTTGTTTCTTACCTGCCATTATTCATCACAGATCCCCTGTGTTTCTATTCCCAGTGAATGTGCTGGTTGGTCAGGTTGGGGCCATGTACTTTGTTCCTTTAGCTGGGTAGGATCCTTCCTGAGTATATAAACATGGGATGGGGCAGAGTTGCTTGGGATAAGTGAGTGGGGGTGGAACAGGGGTATGTGAACCATGGTCTATGGAATGTGGCTGTGTGAACTGTGTACAGCTGCTGAGCCTGAGCTAAGGGCACAATGCAGGAGGTAGAGAGCACCTGCTGGCTCAACCTTCCTTCAGTGGGCCTGGGTAGGGGCAATGGAAAGCAGCAAGCAGCCTCCCTCCCAGAATCCACAGAGGAGTCAGCAAGAATGAAGCTTGAAATAGGGAAGGAAATGAACTTAATTAGACCTAAGCAAGCCATTTGTCTCCAGGAAGTGACATTCTGTTTTCCCTGGAAGTCCCCAGATTAAGTGGTTTTACAAAATGCCAAGGTGGAGAATAGATTTTTCAGTGTGGGGAGAAGAAAACAGTAAGTCAATCCAATTATAGAAACATTATTTGAATACTCCCTAAGTGTCAAGGCCCTAGGCCAGGTGCTATGGGGCACTAGTCACGGCAGAATGAGGGGAGAATGGGGACAGGCAGAGCAGGCTAAGGGAAGAGCCCTCTGAGCTGGAGTGGATATTGGGGGAGGTTTGGGGGCAGGGAATCCTTTCTGAACAGAGAAAAGAAGGAATACTTCATGGAGGTACCTGAATAGATGCCTGAGATGTTTTATGCATGCATGTTCATGTGTGCCTTCTGTGTCCTGGACCCCAGGTCTCATCCGGCTGCAGGAGCTCATCATGGCTCCATCCAGGTACAACATTCGCCTGAAGATCCGCCAGCTCCCCATCGACTCAGATGACTCACGCCCCTTGCTCAAGGAGATGAAGCGGGGCCGGGAGTTCCGCATCATCTTTGATTGCAGCCACACCATGGCAGCTCAGATCCTCAAGCAGGTGGGTTAGCACTGTTCAAGCCGAGGGGTTAGGGTGGGCGCCTGGCATAGCTCCACCTCATCTTTCCCAGGTACAGGGCTTGACCTCAGGAAGCATCCTAGCTGTCTCTCTGGCTGCCTGAATGACGCTGGGGGCCGCTATGACTCTGTGCCTCAGTTGCACCAGCAATATAATTGTTCTTTTACTCCCGTTGTTCTAAAGATGTCATGTCCTAGTGTTCAGAGTACCCCAGAATAAACACTGCCTCCTAGTCCACCCCACCAGGCTGCCAAGAGGCATGAGAACAGCCTTGGTGGGGTGTGGGTGTGAACCAAGGGCCTCAGCTTCTCAGTACCATCCCCAGATGCCTCTCCCAGTGACTAATTCCCCATAGCCATGGCACCTGCTCTCTAAACAATCTGCTGAGCTTTGCAAGGATGGCAGAAGAGAATGGTTCTCCAGCCATGATGATCCTCTGTTCCCACGGCCATCACCTCCTCCTCTGTGGGCAGAGGTCATTCATAATCCCTCCTCAAACATCTCTGGGGGTGTCGGTGAGACGGGACAGAAGAGATGGGGGTTCTGATGTTGGACCTGGAGAGGCCTTAGGGTCCCTGTGGCGAATACCTGTGCAAAAGTCCTGTAACCTTCACTGTCCTGAGGCCTCCCCTCTCTTCCCTGCATGTGTGACAGAATGACAGTCATAGAATTGATTACCAAAGAGTCCCTCAGCAGGTATCTGTCCCTCCTCATTGACCCTGGAAGCAGGGGGCTATTATTACAGCCATTGACAGGTGAAGAGAGCAAGGCTGAAGGCAAAGCAGCGGGCCTGAGGTCATCCAGCCAGGAATTCAGATTAGTCTCAGGTCTGTCTGCCTGCAAAACATCTAGAGTTACAGATGAGGACCCTGGGCTGAGCTAAAAGTGGATTAAAGGGGGTTGAGGCCTTTCCCGGCTGCTGGCCTCCTCCCAGCCCTCACAGCATGGACGAGGGTGGCAGAGAGCATGCAGCAGTTCAAGGTATATTTGACCCCCTGACATTTTCCTCCAGAACCCTTGGTGGGCCCTGCTTTCTGAGGAACTCTGTCGAAAATGCATTACAGTCATTAGTGTTATAGATTACAGGCTTCTAATAAAACACACAGGATACATCACCCAGAGACCTCGTGCGGCTGTGTACTAACAATCCCAGAGGAGTGTGTGGTGTGTCGTGTGGCCTGATGGGATCAGGGAAGCATGGAGGCTTCATTGCTCCTGGGGGATGCTCACTCTAAGGACATCCCCCTACAGCCTGGCTGACTGGAAGAGCTCCACTATGCAGAGCCAGGCTCTTGAGGAGGCTCGAGCTTCTGTCAGCATGTCTGAGTGACAGGCCCAGAGATACTGACTGAAAATCCAGACAGCTGACCATCTCCCCCCTGCCCTGCTGAATTGGGAACTTGGGGAGATTGTGGCCCCAAACCCCACACTGGGAACTCCCCCAAGTGATTTTGCTATACACAGCAGTGGACCTTAGCAGACAACTTCATACGATCTATGGCCTGTCCTGTGCCCCAGCTCCACTGGCCCTGGTGAATGGAGGGCTGATAGAGTGTTCCATGCCCCTGGCTAACACTCTGCTTCCCCACAGGCCATGGCCATGGGCATGATGACTGAATACTACCACTTCATCTTCACCACTCTGGTAAAGTACTGCTGGGTCCTGTGAGCAAGGGTGGGGCCTCTGGGAATGAAGGCTACTTGAGCTGGGCCTGGGCGGGCCTACTGGGGACAGTTCTATAGTTGGAGCAGACCCAAGCCTTCTCAAGGCTGTAGCTGTTGCTCCAGGTGAGACCACCATGATATCTCTGTGAACTGCCCACTTTTGAAAAGTCTTTGGAGCCAGAGTGGAGAGCAACTTCTCTGCTGACTAGTATGGGGGACCCTGGGTAAGTCACCCAGACCTCCCATGCCTCAGTTTCTTCCTCTACAAAATGGGCTTCTACCTCCTTGGGAGGCCTAGTAATCTGATCAGGCCCAGGGGAGAGCAGAGCTTGGTTTAGAGCAGGAGTGAGTGGCTATTAGCACTCTTTAGACTGCCCCCCACACCTGTCAGAGGCCTCCTGTCACACCTGGAATGACCACCTTGGATCCTGCCCCATCCATTCTGAAGTAACCCCCTGCTGTCACTGGGGCCAGCCCACCTGCTGGCTCCAGATGGGTCCTGTCCAAACTCGGAAAACATTTAGGGCCATTTAAAGCCATTAGAATAATTAGTTGTGATCTGAGATCAGAAGAATCATGGCGTCCTGGGTCACAGAGGGCACTGCTGCTGAGCTGCCTGGCCTTGAAGCCAGCTGCACCCTCTCTCCCTCCTTGCCCTCCCTCATTCAGGGACCTGACCCCCACCCCTGCAGCCCTACAATCCTCTAGATGATTTCTTCATTTATAGAGCACCAGTCACCAGTCTTCACCCAGCATCTGGACTAAGCTGGCAATTTCAAGGTGGCTAGCACTGAGGCCTTCCAGTCCATCTTCCTCTATGTGTCTGGCTCAGATACAGCTGACCTCGGGCAGACGGACATGGGGCGCAGTACAAGGAGATGTTAAGGGTTGTAGGGCTGATAGCAGGTGGGAAGTTAGAGGCAGGCTTCCTAGAAAAAGTAGGTGTCTTGAGCTAGGCTTTGTAGGATCAATAAGAGCTCACTGATAGGTGTGTGTGTGTGGGGGGGGGGGTGTTCTGCCCAGAAGGAACAGCATGTGCAAAGGCCAAGAGGCAGGTTAGCTCTCCAGTGATGTGTTGGAGTTGGCTCACACTGGAGTAAGAGAATCAGCCGTGTTCTCACAGCTCCATGTTGTATTCTTAGCCTGCAGTCAGCCATGTAAGCACTTATACCACAGCAGTGAGCCACTGCTGCCAGCGAGAGTTTCTCTCCAGCATGGATTAGTCACCGGCACGTCCTGATTGCCACACACCCTCCATTCACAACACTCTGTGCCCAGGCAGTCAGTGCTCAGAGCCTGCTCTGCCGACTGTAAATCAGGCCTGGGCACCTGATGAAAACACCGTGGGGAGACAGGAACCCTGAGAACTGGGAACTGAGACCTGGCACCTTCTCCATAAGGGATCACCTCACTGCAACCTCTGTCTGCCATTCTGTGTCCTAGAAAGTCACTGGGAACTTAGGGCAAGGTGCTCAATCCTTGGCAGCATTCCAGACCAAGACTAGAGATGACAGCACCCTGGCCCCAGTGTCTTCTGAAGTGATACCATTTTCCATGGAGATCAAGATCAAAGGTTTCAGAAAAAGTGTTCTAGCACCCCAGACCCCCTCCAGGCCCGTGCAGTATGCATTTACCCTAGACCTTGCTTCCACGGTGCAGCTGTTCTTTTCAGATGCTGAGACCTCCGGCTCTGAGCTGGGAGGATGAACAGAGATGGTCCCTCCTGACACAGAGCTCACACACGAGCTCCGAACTTCCTGTGTGAGCAAGGCTGACTACTTGTAGTGCCCACGGAGTGCCTGGCCCACGGCAGGTGCTGTGTGATGCCTGAGTGGATGAATGACTGCCATACAAATTAGACCGTAATCAGCATGATCAGTACTCAGCATCCCTTGCAATTAAGACCCTGGACTCTGGTGTGTCTGATTGGGATGAAGATACTTCATTGTTGGGGGAGGTGGCTCAGGGGTTAAGAGTACTTGCTGTTCAAGCATGGGAACTGAGTTCAAATATCCAGAATCACATTAAAAAGCCCAGTGTGGCCGTGCACACTTACAACCATGGTAGTGGCTGGAGCTGGTAGGGACAGAAGGTTCCTGGGGCTTCCTGGACTCCAGCCTGGCTCCAAGTTCAAGGAGGTGAGTGAGAGAACAGATCACCCAACATCTTCCTCTGGTCTCTGCGCAGAGGTGTGTACACACCATGTACATACCACTCACATACCACCACCTCCACACAAAAAAAAAAAATAGCTCACTTCCTTAGACAAGGCACCTCCTTCTCTTTGCCTCATGCCTGTATCTGTAAAACAGTGACAATAGCAGTGTTACTTGATAGGGTCAGTGTTCAAAGCATCGACAGTGCAAGGCGCTAGAGCAACACTTGGTACTTACCATTGTGTGTGTCCAATAAATCCACTAAGCACCTCCCGCTTTTGCTTCCTGTGTGTCCTCCATCCCTCAAAACAAACGTCCATGGGAGCTGTGACATTTCCCCCTCAAAATGGAAACTGAGACTCAGAGAGGTGACTCAGCAACAGCAGACAGCAGAGAGTTCCCCAGCACAAGCTTTCCAGCTTCCAAACCCTCTGCCGACAACTGTCACTGCAGTGTCCCAGCCTTCTCTGGCAGGTAGACTCTTTGTGATGCCTGGCCATAGTGGTCCAGCATGGTGACTGACACTAACGGGGTAAACAGAATCTTCACATATCCCAGCAGCGCCCACACTTATGTCCTTTGCCTACATCCTCTGGTTTTCCCTTCGAGGCCACAAGGGGAGAGTGTGCTTTCTGCTCCACACCAAGAGAGATCACATGACTGGCCCAGAGTCTCACAACAGATCCATGATACTGGCTTAGGCTCTCACTCTGACTCTGGCCCATGGCTGCTTCGGGGCACTGTTCTCCCCCCACCCCGGCCCCAGCCCCTTTCTGAGGCATAGGAGACCAGGCTCTTCCAGGAAGTGGTGGCCATTATAGTGCAGACCCCTTTATGGTGGGTGGTGTATCAGGTGTCTTCCATGGCACTCCCAGTAGCCTCCATGTGCCAGGGCATCCACTGTGCCTCCCAAAGTCCTCTTCCCTGGTCACAGCCTGTTGCTAGCTTCAGGATCTTTCTTCCAGCCCTGTTGGCTCAGGGCTCTACCTCGTGACTCTCCATTTCTTGCCCATTGGTCAGTGGTGGCTGTAGTGGGAAGGGGAATGGCATTTGGCATTTATCTTAGGAAATGCACATCATCAACCCTTCCCCTCAAAAAATTTCTCCAAAGACGCTTCTCCCATGCAGAAGACGTTTTAATTACCCTAGCTGCCATTATCGGTGTCAGCCAGCTTTGAGCCATTCCCAGATAACCCTGTGCTAATCAGCCCCAGCTGAGCCCCTGGTGCATGTCATGTGTAGGTAAGAGCCTGGAGGTGAAAAAAAGAATTATAATAAATTAATAGATAAGCAATCACAATTAATGCCACTTCCCGGCAATAACAGTTACATCATGGGAAAGATATTTTCATCTGTCGTTCCTTGAGGCCATGTTTTCCGAGCATCGGCTTCTCCCCATTCAGACCCATGGGGTGCTAATGAATTAGTCTATTATGTTATGCTGAATGTTTCTAAAAGGTCCCCAGTCGACACTGAATTCAGTGTGTCAACATTTGGCATCGGAAATGCAACTTTTTGCCAAGCTGCAAAGTTGCCCACAGTTCACCGTGTTGAGCACTTAGGGTCTTGGCCCAGGGCAGTTTGAACAAAAAAACAGTAACAGACTGGACAAAGAGGCCTCTTCACCATCTCCTCACTGTCACTGCTCTCCTGTCACAGGGATAGGGGTACTCGGAGTCCCTAGCCCTAGGAAACGTAGGAAAGCCCAGACCAGAGAGTGACATGAAAGGAAGCAGCTCCAACCTTGTCACCCATTAGAACCCATTATGATTTCAATCAAGAATCCCCCGGCCAGCTCAGCTCATGCTTTGGATATTTGTTCCATAGCTGGGGACAATATGTTTTGGAGGCTCTAAGATCTTTGTCAGGAGGTGGGGCCAGCTGCTAGAAATAGATACTTCAAGGTCATGCCCAGTCCCTGGTTCCTGCCATCCGTTTTGCTTCCGGGTCTACCGTGGTATGAACAGTTGTTGAAACACACTCCCACCTCTGTGGTGTCAACTGCTTTTCTATCCATCCCCCTGACTCTGATGGGATGGAACTGCCTGAAACCATGAGCTGAAATAACCCTTTCTTCTCTTGAATTGTTCTGTCGGGGATGTTGTCACAGCTATGGGAAAAAAAAAAAAAAAAAAAAGCAACTAGCAAGCCTCCCCAGCTGTGACTATCTTGTCAGATTAAATGTTGCAGCTAGGGACTGGGGAGGGCACAAGCCTCCCTACCAAAGCAGAAACACCATCCTTCACACTGAATCAAGTCAGCTTCTGGACCCCAGGATGGTAAACTGAGTCAGAGGCCCTGAGGAGGCTACTGTCATAGCATCTGTCACATCTTAGACATCAGGTCGGCACTGGAGCTGAGAAGAGGCTGAGTCCCATACTGAGAAGGGTGAGCATGGCAACCATTGGTTCATGGTCCCCCCAGCTCAGCTCCAGTTGGATCTCAAAGCAAACACACACCAGGGGCTCACCTTTCTTCCCAGGCCATTCACCAAGCTACTCCCAACTTATATCCTCACAGAGAGCCTCCTCCAAGGGGAAGGTAAACATTTAGACACCCAGGGAGTTATGAGCCAGGCTGACCCTTCTTTCCACATCCAGGGTAAGAATGCTCAAGAGCTCAAGGGCTCGTAGGGATGTCAGGTGCCAGACCTTATTGATTGTTACCTGCTAGGGTGAATGCCTGAAAAATCCCAGGATCAGAGCTGGATCTCTGATAGACCTTGTTGTATGTAGAGGAACAATCAGAGGAGGCTTCCGAGAAGTGGTGATGCCTCTCTGAGTCTAAGAGAGCAACCCACAGACACTTTGAGCTCCACCTGTCAGGGACTGGGGTATCTACAAACCCATCTGACTTAGGAAGAGAAGCTAGAAGGGAAGGTAGGATAAGGTACAGGTCATTCAGCCTTCGTGGAGTGAAAACTGGGAATGGGTACAGGAAAACAGGATGCAGGGGTAGTTTCTGATCTATGCTAAGGAGTTTGTGCTTTTTTTTTCTGATCAGGAATGTGACAGAATGTCATAACCTATGTGAGCCACAAACAAGAGTTTCTCTAGCTTGCAGTTCTGTGGGCTGGGAGGTCTGGGAACATGGTGCTGGCCTCTGGTGAGGACCATTAGGCTTCATCATAGCATGGTGGACGAGCCATTGAACATGGGACCAGGAAATTGGCCAAACTCCTCAAGAGGCTTTCCTCTCCTGAGTAACAAACACACTGCCTCTGCAAGTGTTGCTGAGGGCAGAGCCCTTGTGGCTTAATTACCTCTTCTGCAAGTCACCCCCACCCCAGGGCTATTTCCTTACCCATAAAATAAGAAAGGAAGTTGCTAGGAAAGTAAAAATGGTGTGATGGTCCCCCAGACACTCAGTCTTGACTGAAATTGGTACCATTGAGACACCCTCTGGCCATCTTAGTGTGGACTCCCTTCCCTACAGCCTCCTGCTCTTATCCAGCTTCCTCCCCATCCTAAACACTGGCCTGGAAGCAGGGCCATATAGCGAGCTGTCCTATGGTATTCATAGTATTCACAGGGGGTTGGCTCCAGAACCCCCTTGGATAGTAACTTGTGTAGATGCCTGTCCTAGTCAGGGTTTCTATTGCTGCGATGAAACACCCTGACCAAAAGCAACTTGGGGAAGAAAGGGTTTGTTTCACTTCCACTTGCACAGCTCAAGAAAGATGCCACACAACACAGTTCTAGTGGAAGGGATTTTTATTAAGAGAAAAGGATCATAAAAAGGGGAAAGGGGAAGGGGAAAGACTGGCCTCTGGGGACAGGAGCAGCAGGAGAGAGGAAGGGGGCAGAGAGAGAAAGAGAGAGAGAGAGAGAGAGACAGAGACAGAGACAGAGAGACAGAGAGACAGGCAGAAAGAGAGAGGGGGATGGGAGGTGGACAGGGCCCTTTAAAAGGAAGCATAGTGAATGTGCACAGGTGGTGCTCTTAGTGAATCCTGTCAGAATCCCGAGAACAGGCCAGTACAGATGCCTGAGTACTAACACAGTCCATCATGGAAAGAACTCAGGGCAAGAATTCAAGCAGGCCAGGAACCTGGAGGGAGGAGCTGATGCAGAGGACATAGAGGAGTACTACTTACAGGCGTGCTCTCTTGTGGCTTGCTCATCCTGCTTTCTTATAAAAACCCAGGACTACCTGCCAAAGGGTGGCCCCACCCACTGTGATTAATCATTAATCCTGATAGAACCCCATAGAGTTGCCTACAGGCCAGTCTTATGGAGGCATTTTCTCAAGTATGGTTCTTTCTTCTCAGATAATTCTAGCTTGTGTCAAGTTGACATAAAAACTAGCCAGCACTGTGCTCAAGTCTCTTATATACTATTGCATCATATTTACATATTATCAATACATGCTCTTATCTCCCTTAAGTCAACTCTAGTTAACTTACAATGTAAATGCTGTGTGGTTCATGACATTGTTAGGGAATTGTGGAGAGAAAGAAAGTCTGCATGTGCAGTATAGATGGGAAATTAAAATAAATTACACACACACACACACACACACACATGCGCGCGTGCGCGCACGCGCGTGCACATGCATGTGTGCGCAGTTGGTTGAATTCACAGATGCACAGACTTGGGAGGCAGGTTGTATTTGTTTGGGTAGGGTAAGATGAGACTTTCTTGCCTGGGCTCCAAGCCCTCCTCTTCTCTGCTAAGGAGACACGAATGCACACAGTGCCTTCCAGAAAGGGTCCACTTGGGAATGCAGGAGGAGCAGGAGTTCAGCACCGGGAAGGTGTGTCTCAGAGCTTCATGGGACTCTCAAGCATTGTGTGAGATCTGCTCCATGGGCTCCAGCCTGTGTCCCTTTTATTATCTGAGGTTGGCACTAGGGTAGGGGTGGGGTGTGGGTGGGCTTCAGGTACAAAGTGGAAGGGAAGCAGGAAAGTACAGACAAGGGACTCAGTTTCCCCAGTCCTGGCTTGCAGCCAGTCTACATTATCCAAGTTTTATTTTTGAAAATCAAAACATTAGTCTGAAGTAAGTGTAGATTTGAATGTGTTTCTGGGTCTGGAGGGAACAGTCCGGTGGCGAAGCATAGCATTTGAAGGATGGGGTGAGTAGCGGGGTTTTAAGGGAGGAGGGACATAGAGTAGAACAGTCGGGTTACATACAAAATAGATTAATCTCCTGCAAAGCAATAAAACCACAGCCTTGGGGATGACCTTTTGTGCCAGACACAAATCTCATGTTCAGCAGAAGTTTGGGCTTTAACTAGCTTTTACAGCAGTTCCTAACCCAGCGGAGTTAGGGAGCGCCCGTAATCTGTAAACAGCCATTCCATGTATTGAAAGCACACAACAACTTTTGTCTTGTGTCCCCTTGAGTTTGGAGGCATTTGGAACCTTTGGCTCTCTGCTTGGCTCCTGTGAAGGCTAGCTGCCCTCCACATGATGTCTTCTCGGCTAAGGGGCAGCTGGCTATTCCCACTGCCTATCTCTTGGCTCGTTGTCTCACCAGCCCATTGGCCTGAGTTAGGGCTGTAAGAGAGGCCAGGGCCAGTTGGGCCTTATTTAAAACCCTGTTGTCCCCGGCTGTCAGCCAAGGCCTGCCCATCTACCAGGCTGAATGGGACCTGACCTGTTCCTAGCAGGCAGGTTGCAAAGGCCCTGCCTGTGATTTCCAAAAGAGTCAGGGAAGAAGGGGGTGGATTTCTTTGGTACCCCTTTGGACCCCTCTATGAGGGAAAAAATAAAAACAAAAAGACTCTGGCCTCTCTGCTTCATTCAGTGTCACTTGGAGATGCCCAAGCTCAGCACCCTTCATCCTGCCAAAGTGAGAGGGTTCTTCTGGTCCTATAATGGGGAGTGATCCCCATTTTGTAGACGATGAAGAAGCATGATGGTGGCTCCCATAGTCAGCATGTGAGGTCAGTATCAGGAGATCCAAGGGGTGGACTCTGCATTCAGTCCTCCAGTGGGTATTCCAGTCACCCTCATGCATAGGGCTCTGCAGGGAGCCACAGCTCAGGCCCAGGGGTGCGCAGGTCTGGCAGGTGAGGGAGGGGAACCGGGCCATCCCTTAACCACATCAAACTCTCTCTCTCTCTCTCTCTCCAGGATCTCTACGCACTAGACCTGGAACCCTATCGCTACTCAGGGGTGAACCTGACTGGGTTCCGCATACTCAATGTGGACAACCCCCATGTCTCAGCCATTGTAGAGAAGTGGTCCATGGAGCGGCTACAGGCAGCTCCCCGGGCAGAGTCTGGCCTGTTGGATGGAGTGATGATGGTATGGTGGGCAGATGGATAGATGGGCCCCAGAAGCTCCCCTCGCTCTCTCCCTCCCTCCTTCCTTCCTGACCCTCTTTCCTGTCTTCCTTTTTTCCTTCCTTTCCTGCTTCCATCTTCCTATACAACTCTTCTTTTTGTAAGATCTGCCATATATCAGCCAGAGTCCCAAGGACAACAGTCCCCTGCCCCAAGGGCCGCCTCTGATGGAGCCACAGGATGGCTAAAAATGGATTACATAAAAAAGAGCATGGGGACTTGGGTTGTGGCTGGCAGGTGTGAGGCTGAGGAGGCAAGAAAGGAGTAAGAAGTCGGTGGGATTTGGTAATGAGTTGGGCAGAGGGTCTGGAGATAGAGAGCCTGGCCTGCAGAAAAGAGGGTGGCACTGAGGTATCCACAGACTCATAGGACCACTGAGGCTGGCCTCTCCGGGTAAAAAGCCAGGGTTCCCTCTGGGCCTCCGGGCCTGTTCCCTCCCCCAGGACACCATGAACGTGTAGTAGGAGAGGGGCAGGTGGGGCAGGGCCGAGGGGGCTGGGAAGGGCGGGGGCCCCCA